ATCTTTCCCCCCACATGTTAAATCTTTTTTTTTTTTTTGCAGTTTCTGAATGAAAGGCTGTGATATACAGTGGTACCTTGGTTCCCAAATGCCTTGGTTCCCAAATGCCAACAATCCTGTTCCTGTTTTCAAACGTTTTTTGGAAGCCGAACGTCTGACGCGGCTGTCAGCTATTGTTTCTGGGGCACCTGCACCAATCGGAAGCTGCGCCTTAGTTTTTGAACATTTCAGAAGTCGAACGGACTTCCAGAACGGATTAAGTTCAAGAACCAAGGTACAACTGTATTTGTTTTTGCTATTTATTTTGCATTTTTGTTTTTGAGGCTTTTTCGGTTAATTTCTTTTTGTGACTGTGTGGAACCCAGTTTAGCAACTGAATGACTGATTGTTTGACTGCGGAAATGAATAAAAGCCCCCCATCCAAACAATGGCTATCTTCAGTGCAGGTAAGAAAAAATAATAATTTTAATTGTTATCATCTACAATGCTGTCTTATTTATTTTATAGTACAGTACATTGATTATTGCTCGTTAGATAGTAAAATTCATGTTAAATTGCTGTTTTAGGGGTTGTTTTTAAAAGTCTGGAACAGATTAATCCGTTTTGCATTACTTTCTATGGGAAATCGTGCCTTGGTTTTGGAACGCTTTGGTTTTGGAACAGACTTCCAGAATGGATTAAGTTTGAGAACCAAGGTACCACTGTATAATATTAAGCAAGTGATGCATTTGAGGGATTTGAACCCAGGTTCAAGGACAACTGAAAGATAACTGTGCTCATGGAGTGCAATATAAAGATATAAATTGATGTTTGTAAATGTGTGCCAAACACACTTTGGCTATATACTAAATTCTTTGCTCCTGGTGAAAATAATTAAATGCTGATGTTAAGCCAACTTGTTGCTTTTCAAAAGGCCATGCCTCTTCCCTTTGATGCTCAGCACCATCAGGGCAGTCTATGCTGTGAAGAGCTGGGAGCTTTTCCTGGGGAGAAGACAGAGCTGGAGGACAGACCTTGCTTGGCTGCTCTTTGCCCCCCAGAGCTGAGTGCCCCTTCCCTGCCCCACCTCCCTCTGCTCCTGCAAGGGCCGCATCCAGAAGCGCAGGAGAGAGGAGGAGAGACCAGGAGTCTGTGTCCTGTGGCTCCCAGACCAGAGAACTGGGAAGTGAGGCCTCAAGGGGTCTCCTGGGGGGCACAGGGGAGAGAAGGGGGCACAGCATGTCTGCCAGTATCTCAGCCAAAGGCAGCCTGGGGAGCCGGACATTCAGACAGAGAAGTTTCCTCACAGCTCACTTTTCAGAGGTGGCACTTGGACTGGATTCATCATCACAAGATCTGGGGTGGTATCTAATGCTACTTCTACTCAGATTAGACCCACTGAAGTGATTTGGCATTTCTGTTTTTTAATGCACTGATTTCAATGGGTCTACTCTAAATATCCCCTTCATGGATCACTGCCTTGCCGTGGCGAAAGGGGCTTGAATAACTCAGGGAAGATATGAGCTATGCCGTGCAGGGCCACCCAAGATGGACAGGTCATAGTGGAGAGTTTTTGACCAAACGTGATCCACCTGGAGCAGGAACTGGCAAGCCACTCCAGTATCCCTGCCAAGAAAACTCCTGGGACAAAGGCAACAGGCATATAAAGTTATGACCGCTGGAAGATGAGCCCTCAGGTCGGAAGGTGTCCAACATGCTACTGAGGAAGAGCAGTGGAAAAGTACAAAGTAGATTCAGAGCTGATGAAGCGGCTGGGCCAAAGCCGAAAGGACGCTCAGTTGGCGATATGCCTGGAAGCGAAAGGAAAGTCCAATGCTGTAAAAGAAAAATATTGCATAGGAACCTGGAATGTAAGAACCATGAACCTTGGTAAGTTGGATGTGGTCAAAAATGAGATGGCAAGAATAAATATTGACATCCTGGGCATCAGTGAACTAAAATGGATGGGAATGGGCAAATTCAGTTTGGATGACCTATCATATCTACTACTGTGGACAAGAAACCCGTAAAAGAAATGGAGTGGCCCTCATAGTCAACAAAAGAGTGGTGTAAGCTGTACTGGGATGCAATCTCAAAAATGATAGAATGATCTCGATACGAATCCAAGGCAGACCTTTTAACATCACAGTAATCAAGTTTATGCACAAACTACTGGTGCTGAAGAAACTGAAATTGACCAATTCTATGAAGACTTACAACACCTTATAGAAATGACACCAAAGAAGGATGTTCTTCTCATTATAGGGGATTGGAATGCTAAAGTAGGGAATCAAGAGATAAAAGGAACAACTGGCAAGTTTGGCCTTGGAGATCAAAACGAAGCAGGGCAAAGACTAATAGAGTTCTGCCAAGAGAACAAGCTGGTCATCACAAACATGCTTTTCCAACAACACAAGAAACGACTCTACACATGGACATCACCAGATGGGGCAGCATTGAAATCAGATTGGTTACACTGGTCAACAACAAATTTGTTGTCTGCGTTTTTTTCAGTTGATTTAGGACGAATCTGATGCGCTGAATCGCATTGGTTTTGCTCAATCAGGTCAAGTTTTTGAACTATGGCCACATGTCGTTTTTTTACGTTTTTGTTCACATCTATGCTTGTGTGGAGCATTTTAGAAGAAGTTGGTGGGGGTAAATGCCATGTCGAATAATTGTTTTGATTGGAAATGATTATTTCAATGACAAGAAGTATTCAGGTCCAATAGTTCTGGGTGATTATGTCGAAAAGGGATCAGTTTGAAGTCATAAAACCTCGAAATCTTCCATAAATTGGTGCGGCAAAGCATAAAGTTGGGGGATCAAAACTAAGTTAATCCTGATCTTCAATCAGCCACGTCATCCTGTAGCTCATTGTGATGAAATTCCAGTGCCTATCTTCGGAGAACTTCCTGACATTAGTGACGAAGATGCCTCCAGTGTTGAAGGACATGAAGAAGAAGAAGAAGAAGAAGAAGAAGAAGAAGAAGTGGTTCTTGAAGATGATGCTCCACATCCATTTTCCCAAAAGGAGTTGAATGATCTAGTTCGCGACCTCAGCTTGTCAAAGGACTCTGCCGAACTGTTGGCATCCAGATTGAAGGGGAAAACCTCCTCTCTGACAGTGCTCGCATCAGCTTCTTCCGCAACAGGCATCAAGAGTACCTCCGTTTTTTCTCGGAAGAGAAGGACTTGATGTACTGTGCAGATATTGCGCAGCTTCTGCTCAAGCTTGGAGTGCCACCGTACGAACCCAAAGATTGGAGACTGTTCATTGACAGCAGCAAGCGATCACTGAAATGTGTTCTGCTACACAACGGCAACCAGTTTGCCTCTATACCCCTGGCTCACTCGAGTACACTGAAGGAGAACTATGAAGCGGTGAAGTATGTGTTGGAGAAAATTGGTTATGATCAGCATAAGTGGTTTATTTGTGTTGACCTGAAGATGGTGAACTTTTTGTTGGGACAACAGTCTGGCTTCACCAAGTACCCATGTTTTCTGTGCATGTGGGATAGGAGGGACCGTGCTCAGCATTACACGAAGAAGGACTGGCCTGTGCGGGAGGAATTGGTGCCTTGCAAGAAAAGGAACATCATCACCGACCCTCTGGTGGACAGAGACAGAATACTCTTCCCACCGCTGCACATCAAGCTCGGATTAATCAAGCAGTTCACCAAGGCTCT